GAAGTGGAAAAGGCCATGAGCGTTAGCCAGCAGGGGACAAGACGAGCGATTTCCTTGCAAAAACCAGAGTGCAACACTGCCATAAAATGATATGGCCATGCAGCAACATGGCTTAAAATGCCCCTACTTTTTTATGCGTTTTGTGCTGTGTAACAGCAGTACAAAACGCATATTGTCACGGGGTTGTCTGTGTGTGTGTTTGTGTGTGTGTGTGTGTGTGTGTGTGTGTCCGCAGCAACTTGTGTGCAACTTTCAGCTCGGGAACCACAAAAGCTAGGAAGGTGAAAATTTAGGGGAACGTTTCCCACCCACGTGTGACCCCGTAAATTTAAGTTCAGCTTCCCCGTAATCGCGGGTAACACGTACAGCCTCGTGAAATTTTTTTGCAGGTAAATTAATATCTCGGGAACCACGGAGTCTAGAAGGCTGAAATTTTAGGATAATGACCCCCTGCCTACGCTCAACCTTACCCATTCAAGTTCAGCGTTCCCGCGCTCTTGTATCACCTACGGTCTCGTGAAAATTTTGGCGGTTAAACTATTAATTCGGGATAAAGATATTCACCCTTCAAGGTTTCGAATTCAGCTTTCATGCGCTGGTGCGTGAAATTTTTAACTGGAAAGATATTCACTCTTCAAGGTTTCGAATTCAGCTTTCATGCGCTGGTGCGTGAAATCTTTAACTGTTTTCCAATGTTTGTATTTTGCTATTTAGCTTTCATACGCTGGTGCGTGAAATTTTTAACTGTTTTCCAATGTTTGAACTATTTTTGCATAGACAAGGTACAAGAGTGCGTGAAATTTTTAACTGTTTTCCAATGTTTGAACTATTTTTGCATAGACTAAAGAACAAAGCACTGGTGTGTGAAATTTTTAACTATTTTCCAATGTTTGAACTATTTTTGCATAGACTAAAGTACAAAGCATGAAAATCATTAATAGGCAATCGTTCGATGGGCCGAATTGCACAAAACGCATTATCGCACCGGCTAGTCTGTTGAAATTTTTAACTGTTTTCCAATGTTTGAACTATTTTTGCATAGACTAAAGCACAAAGCAGTGAACTGGTGCATGAAATTTTTAACTATTTTTCAATGTTTGAACTATTTTTGCATAGACTAAAGTACAAAGCAGTGAAAAGTTTTTAACTGTTTTTCAATGTTTGAACTATTTTTGCATAGACTAAAGTACAAGGAAGTGAAATCTTTAACTGTTTTTCAATGTTTGAACTATTTTTGCATAGACTAAAGTACAAAGCAGTGAAAATCATTTTCTTAACTGTTTTTCAATGTTTGAACTATTTTTGCATAGACTAAAGTACAAGGAAGTAAAAATCATTACGTCTGGTTTTCAATGTTTGAACTATTTTTGCATAGACTAAAGTACAAAGCAGTGAAAATCATTAACAGGCAATCGTTCGATGGGATGGATTGCACAAAACGCATGATCGCGCCGGCTAGTCTGGGGCGCGTTGCTATTTTTCTACCATTATTCTGCCGTCGCTATACTGTTATGTAACCTAAACAAAAAAGATTGTTTCCAAGCGATAAATACCTCGATCAACTGTTTTTCGCTGAGCAAAATCGTAGTGAAGCCTGCAGACATTCGAGTGCGTAGAATCGTAATCGGTGTATTGGAGGCAGGATCGCGGATGCGTCGCGATATTGCTTGAATCGCTGCAGCTATCTGAAAATATAGAAGTAGCTCGGGGCCAAAATCACACGGTAGCAAGTACGAAATGAACAGTCGATAAAAACACAAATCTGGATGGCACATTTACATCGTCATCTTCAATGAAGAACGTTATATCGGCACGATCCACCCTCAACAACAGCGGTTTCACATCATCAACGTATTGACCAATTAATCGCATAATGAACTCCTTGCCAATTCGCGCACCGCGAACAACCTGAAATCGGGGAAATCTGGCATGGACAAGAAAGAACACAGTGCTACATTGTGCTATTTCCTGGATATCCCACGTAAATGCGATATTTTTCAAATCCCATGCAGTGCGGCTAACATCTTTTGTGGATTAGGACCTCTGTAAAACAAAATTTTGCGTTCTTGGGAAATTCATCGCCGATCCTTCGGGTAATAAACATTTAAAAGCGAGTGCAATATTTAAAAAGTGAGCTAAGAATCAGGGCGATGGAGGAAGGAGCAAAAGTATTGTTTGGTCCGAGAGTTGAGTTGACGGCGACGAATTTGGTTTATCCACAACACAATATTAGCCAACGAATCACGAACCAACAAAAGCAGGGGTATTTATACAGGGAGTCGAGCACAACGAATATTCTAGATTAAAAAACACTAAACGACGCAACCCAGTCTATAAGCAGTCACAAAGAACATTCCAGAAAATTCTGCACAACAACCTATAATAGAGATCTCCCTAGAACTTCCGAAGATCATGATCAAGGATCATCGAGGTCTCAACAAATAAAATTAGCAGTTCTCTTCGGAATCAGAACGAAATGCCTTTCGGAATCGTCTTTAACAAGCTAACCATCAAACAAAGCAGTTTCGGACATAGAAACAATCAAAAAGTTGAAAAAAAAATAAAAAAATAATAAACAAAAATAAAAAAAAACAAAGAAAATAAAAACAAACAGTATATGTGTGGTGGAAAAGAAGCGAAACGATGGAATTATAATAACTGATTAAAGTGCTTTCCAGCTTACCTTTATCTGATTCATGACGACTGCTGCGGACGATGAGCCACCAGCGGCGCCACGAAGCAACTGCTTGTCTCGCCTGCTTTCCAGCGGCATTTTCTTCGAGACATTCTTATAGTCACTGCCTGGAAACAGCATCCTTCGCTGGTCACCTCGATTACACTTATATACTGTCGGCTCGACGCCACCGAGATATCCCAGGCGTAGCTATTCCAAGCTTTTTGATTAAAGGCTGGATGGCTCAAAATGTGCCCCAATGCATCTAACAGATTTGCACGTCCAAGTAGATTAAGGCCCCAAAGTTTCAGCCCTATAACTTTTGTAGGTCTCAAGATGAAAAATCGGTACATAGGCCCTGCGCACACACAAACACACACACATAGACACACACACACACATACACACACAGACAACCTCTCGTCAATATGCGTTTTCCGCATTGCATAGCTGTAAAAAACGCATAAAAACAACATGATGTGTGATTTACCGTGTCCGTTTTTGCGCTGTAAACCTCTCGTCCATATTTTTACATCTCGCAGCTGGCACAGGGGTATTGGCGTCACCGGCCGATGAAACTGCGATTCTGAATTCTGAAAATGTAAAGTACTTCCAGATGATATTGCGAAAAAACATAAAAACGATGAAAAACCTGTAGGTCGGACGATAAAAAAAACCTTGTTACACGCGAACGTTTCGAACAATCGAGTATTTAGCATCTTTTATCGACAGTACTGCTTAAAAAAAAGCTCCAAAAAAATTTTTGTCAAAAAAAAAAAATAAAAAAATTCAAATGTGCTCGGTAAACTAGTCACCGAACTGCCAAATTCAAGCCGAAGTGCTGCAGTTTTCGGGAATAAACTGCGAAATTGTAGATCATTCTGGAACCACCTTCTGCCCATTCCTCCGATTCTTATTTCCTCACTGGATTTTACCTCACAATCTAATCTTCAGCTAAGAAAAAATAATGTAAAAAAGAGTTAGGCGTGCCCAGAAGCTCACAGCAGTGCCTCGAAATGAACACAGAAACTGCTCATAAAGAAAAATGGCAACGCGCACCAGGCTAGCCGGTGCGATCATGCGTTTTGTGCAATTCAGTCCATCGAACG